ACAACAGCCACAGCCACAGCCACAGCCACAGCCACAGCCACAGCCACAGCCACAGCCACAGCCACAGCCACAGCCACAGCCACAGCCACAGCCACAGCCACAGCCACAGCCACAGCCACAGCCACAGCCACAGCCACAGCCACAGCCACAGCCCCAGCCACAGCCACAGCCACAGCCACAGCCACAGCCACAGCCACAGCCACAGCCACAGCCACAGCCACAGCCACAGCCACAGCCACAGCCACAGCCACAGCCACAGCCACAGCCACAACCACAACCACAACCACAACCACAACCACAACCACAACCACAACCACAACCACAACCACAACCACAACCACAACCACATCCACAACCACAACCACAACCACAACCACAACCACAACCACAACCACAACACAACAACACAACAACAACAACAACAACAACAACAACAACAACAACAACAACAACAACACACAACAACAACAACAACAACAACAACAACAACAACAACAACAACAACAACAACAACAACAACAACAACAACAACAACAACAACAACAACAACAACAACAACAACAACAACAACAACAACAACAACAACAACAACAACAACAACAACAACAACAACAACAACAACAACAACAACAACAACAACAACAACAACAACAACAACAACAACAACAACAACAACAACAACAACAACAACAACAACAACAACAACAACAACAACAACAACAACAACAACAACAACAACAACAACAACAACAACAACAACAACAACAACAACAACAACAACAACAACAACAACAACAACAACAACAACAACAACAACAACAACAACAACAACAACAACAACAACAACAACAACAACAACAACAACAACAACAACAAACAACAAAACAGTCAAGTAACATCTAACTACCAGCCATGTGGCTATGGGTCAAAACCCAAATCAGTTAGCCCCCAGTGAACGTCCCAATCCAACCACTAAAATAGAGTAAAATGGGTGGTGAATTCACCTACCCCAAAAAGGTACCATTGGTGTTGACCCACGGCCATGTGATGTGCCATGACCTTCTTACTCGTACTTGGCTTAAAATGCGGTTAGGTGCCTTGTAATACTGTAATACGCGATGTGCCATGGTGATTGCGCTGGCCCCCCCCTTTCGGGAAACACAAGTCACAGCGATTTTGGAGGGCTCCCGATAGTTCCCCCCGAAAAAAAACTGGCGATCGCTGCGATAGGGAATCTGAAATGGAATGTTTTCAGGGGTAGCCTAGGAAACCACCGGTTGGATGGCTTATTTCGGGGTCATTCCATGTCTCATTCCCTGCTATCACCAATACTGTGGATGGTTTTACGAGTCATGCGCGAGTCTCGCACCACGAAATGAGTTACCATGGGAATGAAACCATAACGTTTGTTGGCATTTACAGGGGGAATCGAATCAGAAACCAGGGTTTCTGAACGGTGGTGCGAGATGGATTTCTTCCATCCACAGTAGGTCCCCCCCGTAATGACCACAGGAAAGAAGGCCTTTGAGGGCTGAAACGGTCTGGCCGGAAATTTGTTTTCTTGAAGTTTTTGGTTGAGACCTGTTGCTTGAGGGTTTAAAGTTGGGATCATTGAGGCTCACGTTGCTTTCGTGGAGCTTCTGCGTGTTTGTCAGAGTTTAAAGGGACAACTCGCGTTCTGTCTCCCCCTTCAAGAGATCATTTTTGTTGGAAGGTTTTGGTTCAGCGAGGGAATGAGCCAGCGATTTAGTGATTATGTTAACCTAAGTTACGGGATTAATGCTCCATAAAGATCTGCCAGCCTTCTCAGCCGCCAAGTGCTCGTTGGCCAAGCAAAGGCTGCACACCTGGGCGAGCTGTGGCCGCTGGCCTTTTGGACACAAAGAAAACTGTTGGTCCATTTTAAAGGGGATCCGGATCACCCGAAATCATCCACCGGTTGAGTAATCTGAGGCTTAAGTTGGATGGCACTGGTCAATAGTCAGGAGCAAACTGAAACCAGTGCCATCAATAATCCACCAAACTGAGTCTACCTGGGAAAGTCTGACGATTTGCGAAGGACCTCCGTTTGGATGCTTTCAAAAGGTCAACCCAAAGGAACCGCCACACGGCGGAATAGGGTCTTGTTGAGAATGCCATGGGCGGTCCAAGGCCGAGGGCACGTTTGCAAGTGTTTTGTGGTGCGGCAGGGCTCAGCCTGCTTTTTGTTCCTCGGTTCCGACGCGCATCAAGAGGGCATGGGCGCCGAAGATGAGGTAAAACTGGCAACTCAAACAGCCGTCGTTGATTCAACGACTCCGGCAAATGGGCCCACAGCCTTGAAGCCTCAACGTCCGAGCTGGGAGTCTGTTTCTCGCAACCACTCGAAATAAAGATGCAACTCCGCGCCCAAATTCAAATCGCAGCTGCGTTGGGCATTGTGAACAGGTTGCACATCCCAATCGGCCCAAACATGTTCAGGGACATCGAGCAAAAGGCGCTTGCCGTGCCTTCTGCACCTTGCCCGACTCTGGATCGTCAGGCGCTCGCATTTCCTGAAAAAGGCAACGGAGCAGTTCTGAGTGGCAGGGTCAAAATCGAGCGCACGTTTATTTGTCAGGTACTTTGCAACAGGAAGCCAACCAGTCGGAAGGGTCCCCTGTCTCCAGAAACACCCGGCAAGGAAAGGGATGGCTAAACCAAGATGGGGGAATTGTGCCATCCACCTGGTTTACCCAAGTGTTCCTGAGTCCTGAGGCATGCTCAAGACCCACTTGAGATGGGTTTCACTGGAACACCCATTCAACATCCTGCTTTACTTGTGGTCTGGCAGAAAAGGTCGTGTTCTGAATGGCCAAATGCCAATGAACTCAAAGGTTGTTGGACACCCACCCAAGTGATCTCCAGTCAAAGGTCCTGAATCACATGATGTGAATGGACTCACGTGGGTTCGTGGAACCCCCAATTCAAACCCAACGAAAGGAGCGGTTTCTTCAGCCTCTCGATCGTTGCGCGCCAGGGCTCTACGAGGTCCACCAAGGGTCTCAGCACCTCCTCGCTCGGAGGGTCTGATGCGAGCAGTGCTCGATCTGCCTCCTGACCCAACGGGGCCAGGCTGGAAACCGGAAGCCGGGTTCAGAGGAGGATCATAGAAAGCTGAAAAATCGACGAATCAAGGTTTGGAGAACTGAAAACACTTGCCATAATATGGGCAAAACAAATGCAGCAACAGGAAGAACAAATGCACCCCACATACAGCAAATCCCACAGTTTGGCCAGATACTCACACACACAGGGTTCCCATCAAACTTCCTGTCAGCACTCCTGTAGCTTAAAGAGGATCCACTTTGCCGAATCGAACCGAAGGAATCGACTTGGCACCTGAAAGTCGACCCCTGACATCACCACCTCCGAAGGGGCTTCGTTGTGTCCAACCAAGGCTTCACCCCAGCCCGGCACCTTTTGCTTGTTGATTTGGTCAAGTCATGGCTGGTTCTTGGTGATCCCCCATGTACCAAGTGTGAGTTTACATCCAAGGCCTGAGCCAGGTCGGTTGCTACATGCTCTAGGTCCCTGGGCTCAACCCCGGCTGCGCCCCATGTGAGAGTTCTAGAGCTTGTGGGCCTGTCCTGAACGGCTTGAACCTGGGCGAATCATTGACTGGCCTTGAAAGAAGGGACCCCCCAATGAGAAACATTCATCATAGCCTAGTCAAGCTCCATTAAATAGTTTCTTGGTTCATCCTTTTTGAATTAACCTGAACGAACAATTCCCAAATTCCAAGAATAAGCCTGGCGCATCCAACAATAAACCTGGAAAAAACAACAAGGACCCCTCCCCCCCCACCCCTCCCATCCAACTCTGCACCACTCACCACTTCCCCCCAACTCACTCCCCTCCTGGATCTTGTCCAACTTGGTATCCCCTTTCCTCAGAAGTTCAGTAGATTGCCACGAGCAAAAAACGGGCAGTTGTTTTGTTGCTTGAGAGCAACACAAAGAACAACACGGAAAACGGGAGTGGAATCACAGCCTCATTCTAACATGGCAAAACCCTTCCCAAATAAAGGACAAGTTGGAACCCCGAACTTAACTGAACCATCCGACTGCTGGTTTTCCAGGGCATCCCCTTGGGGGCCCTTCCCCAAGAGCCGTGGAATCCACTGGCTGTCGGGCTTCAGCTTCAGCCACTCCGCCCGCGCGGACGCCAGGAAGCGCTTCACCAGCTCCGGGCCTTCGGTGGAATTCTCCGCGGCCGCTTTGGCGATGCTGGCCAGCGCCTGGGCCTCAGGCGAAATGACTCTTGGCCCAACTGACTTTGGAGGCTTGGAGGGGGAAACCAGCAGGAAAACCCCCCAAACGAGTGGGGGCTTCAACCCCTGAAGAACAAAAACACTCCAAACATGGGGCCAAGTGGCCATGGGTCAAAACCCAACATCCGATTCAATCCAACCACTAAAATAGGTTCTAAAATGGTGGCGAATTCGCCTACCAACCAAAATGGGATACCAAAACGGTTTTGACCCACAGCCAAACCACTCTTGGCCCATCTTCAAATTCTAGGTCCTGCGGTAGAGAGGTTAGAATAAGGGTACCAACTTCTTTCTGTGGTCTATTTTAGTAGGGGAACCCTCCCAGGTTTTTTTGGCCAGCGGTTTTATTTGTTCCATGTGTTCCAGGTTTCTTATTTTTCCAGGGCCCCAAAAAACGGGTAAAAGGGCACGATCCTGGGGGACCTAGAATTCACAAAGCAAACTTAACTCCGCCCCCTGGCATCGACATGGACACCCAAAAGCTGATTGCTGCAATTTTGGATCTTTCGCATACGTCGACTGCACAACATCGTTTTGAAGACCCAAGTAAGAGTCAACCAACGCAAAGCGTCCTCAGTGAGACACACGGAAGGGGCGCACCTAGACTTCAGGGGCCCGACTTTTTCCGCTGGACCCAACCATTATTTTGGACGGGCGTCCTGGTGCACCCCTACTCGAAATACGCGCCTTTTCTTTGAAAGGACCATTCTTGGAAACAAACAGGGGGGTTCATGGTAAATAATTACATCTTGGTTTGTCACGCGGATTCACATCATACCCTAAAAAAGATGGTATTTGCTGTGGAGGTCGGGCATGTGCAAGACCTCAGATGAATTTCCTCTTCATCTCCCCGAAACTCGGTTGTACAACATAGGGGATCCCACGTTTCCTGATCCGTAATCCGTAGGGGGACACCAACACGGCAGAAACCACAACCTTCTGACATAAAAACTGAGGATGAGCCTTGGACAACCCAAACAAAGGCTTGTTTGGATCTGACTGGCAAAATGCCACGTTGGGGGTGTCTCTCTTTGTGGGTACCCCTTTTGCGGTTGTCTTAAAGGAAAGCAACCAAAAGAAGATCCACCATTTTTGGGGTACCCGCCCAGTGTTTGTTGCCGCGTCTTTTTCTTCTCATTTCGGTGTTTTGCAGCTCCCAAAAGCCTAGGCCTTTGCCAGTTTCAATAAGCGCCCTAAAGGATACTCCGATCCCTCAAGTAGCGTCATGTGCCATACCTTTCAAGTTCCCCCGAAATATGTCGTATCTCACTTTCGGGGCGTGCGTACTTATTTTCTGGAGTTCATCCTTTGATCCGGAAACAACATACAGCAACATCAAATGAAAGAAACTAGAACGGGTTGTGGGGTACTTGAAACCAGGCTTATATCACCTTCCTTTGCGAAATGTGATTGAAGGCCTTTGGCAACGGGGGGGATACGCACTGTGCGTTGTGTCCCAGGCCGTCACGGAATAGTCCATCTGGAAAAATGGGCGTGACTTCTTTTGGCAACGGCACGAACGCCCAAAGAAAGGCGCCTTGGCCCCAAAGGCGCTCTGTATGAGTTGTGAACCCTCCGCTGGTGATCCCCCCCAAAAAGCCATCTCAATCAACCCTCAACCTCGCTTTTGGAGCGGCAATTCCGTAAAATGCCCTTGGCCAGCTTTGTCGAGAAGCCGTGATTTCCATATTTCTGCTTTGCCCCTTGGAGCTCCAGGTCATTCTTCATTTCTTCAGATCGGTGAGGGATTTCAGCCGATAGCATGGAGCGACTTTCAACAACTCCACGATCCTGGCAATGGGTGTTTGCCCACGAAAGGCCCCCTGCTGCAAAGATTTCGCACCTCAAACGTCAAACAACTGCCCTTCAGACAGCCCAATCCTAGTGGCAGCACAGAGGCTCACAATTCTCCAAGCGGCTGGTGCAGCTTTGGGCTTTGCTTTCGGCTTGGCTTTGGCCTTGGCCTTGGCCTGCAAAAAAAAAACACGGCAAGGCCCCCGTGCTCGTGCCGGAAGCGGGCAAGCGGGCACCGGGACCTGGTGCCTGCCCCTGCCATTTTGGGTGTGAATCTTCATTGTGAAGCTTCGGACACCATTTACATGGGGGATTGCATCAACCACCTTGCATAGCCATTTTGTACCTTACCGAACCCCCCCAAATTGGTGGTTGCTGCCTGCGGTTTTTCGCCGCCCTTCTACCGCACTTACCCCTACTGTGGATGGACGAAATCCTGCACCACCGTTCAGAAACCCTGAAATGATGAGTTGGAATGATGAGTCCCCTGTAAATACCAACAACCGTTATTATGGCGTCATTCCCGTGGCAACTCATTTCGTGGTGCGAGACTCGCAGATTTCGATTTCGAACCATCCACGGCAATGTTGACCCCATATTAATCAACCCCATTGTTGGACTCGCATGGTTTCACACTGCAGGATTTCGCAGCCATCCACCGTATCAGCCGTATCATTGGTGGCTTTGTCTAGGTCCTTCAGTAGAGAGGTTAGAATAAGTTGGTACCCGATTTCTTTTTCTGTAGTCTATTTTAGTAGGGGAACCCAAAACCCCCAAAAAAAGGGAGAGAAGGGCACGATCCTGGGGGACTTCGTTGTTCATATGTTGCACATTTGCCGGCCTCCTCAGAGTCGGAGGAGGAGATCTGGCCCTTCTTCCGCTTCAAGGCCTCGAAAAATGGCTCCGAAAAGGGTTCCAGTACCGTGGGCCTCCAAGGACCCTTGGAACAGGAAAAAATACTGTTATTTGGCTGAGGTCAAAACCGTTTTGGTATCCCATGTTGGTTGGTAGGTGAATTCACCACCCATTTTAGAACCTATTTTAGTGGTTGGATTGAATCGGATGTTCACTGGGGGTACGGGATTTTGACCCATGGGCATTTCTTGGCAAAGGTACTTGGAGTAATGGAGGGATTCTTTTTTGCCAGCAACCAGGTTTGTCCGAAATGATAAAATACCTTTTATGAAGGAGGTACTGTGGATGGTTGCGACATCCAGAAATCGCACCACGAACTGAAACCATGATTAAAACCATTACGTTGGTTGGTATTGCGCGGGAATCGAATCAGAAACCCGGGTTTCTGAACGGTGGTGCAGGATTTCGTCCATCCACAGTCATCTTTTCGTGCTGGGGTCTGAGCACCAGCTAGTGCTTTGCCATGAGCAACCAGGTTTGTCCCAATGCACCAAACAACCACAGGTAATCAGAGTAATTTGGACTGAGCAGGGGGTAAGGGGGAAGGGGAGTATGGCTGATGAGCCACAACGAATGGCGTTCCGTTCCTTCAAAGAAAGATTGCCTCCAAAAGCAAAGAACATGGGAGTCCTTTCTCGGGTAGCCCAAACAACATATTCCGTTCCCCGTCCAGAAGAGGAAAACAAGGACCCAGCCAATGTTTAAACAAAACAGCAATTAGTGGACAAGGTTCCCATAAACTGAGCAAAAGCAACCTGCGAACTATGCTCCATGAAACTGAAGCTTGCTTGGGTGCCTTGAGCACTAGCATGTTGAAACGGGCTGTTGGAGCATGAAACCCAGAGCGCAAGTGTAAACCAGGAGAAGCGCGCTGCCCAAGATGGTTGATATTCAATGATGCTTTGCCATTGAGATTTGCGAAAAAAAGAAGAAGGGAAAAACAACTAGACAAGCTATCAAACCTCATGTGCAAGTCCTATTTCTACTGAACAAAAACACGACCCCAATGGCAAGCAACTGCTAAACAAAGAACTTCCCGTGGCATTGATGAAGGTCAATACTGTAGAGAACAACGAAGAGGACACGACCCGTTTTGCGGGGACACGCCCAGATCCGCACAGCGGCAAGAGCCAATGCCTTCTTGACGTCGAAGGAGTTGAAGTTGATGAATCCCGACATGGCACTTAAAATGCTTCGGACGCATCCAGTATTGCGGTTGCGTGGGTTCACCCTAAAGCTCAATATGTCAAGTGGCTCGGGCACTGTTACAACCCAAGTGGCTGGCCAGTGTACGTTAGTTGCGATGGTTGTTGCCAGAAGAAGATCGCTGCTGCCAGACTGCCAAAGAAGAAGCCCACCTGCACAGCACCATAACTGGCTGCCGTCTTTCCCAATATGAGACCAGAGGCGTGGACTACTGGTCTGAGCCGAGCAACTTGACGTGGCAGCGTGCAAGGCATACGTCTTCCGTCTTTCATTGAAGAAACAGCCATGTTTCTTTTTGTTTTTGGAAGTGTGGTTGCTTTGGTTGCCTACAAAACTGGTAAATGCTCATCACTGGGCATCATTATGATGAATGACGCTGAACAAAATGCTTCAGCTTGATTCACCCCCAGGCGACGCACATGGCCGGTCAGAAAAAGGGAGCATGCAATCAACTTGCTTGCCTCGTCATGACAGTTGGGTCTCATCCTCCACTTGCATAAGCCCCCTGGAAAAAAAATAATTCCAGTGGTGATAGATTCCCTTTTAACAACTAACAGGGGAGAATACCCTTCAAAACCAACAGGGGAGAATAAACAATATTCTTAGGCAGATGGAAGTCATGGGGGAACTCCAAAGACCCCAGAAAACAAGACTCAACTGACTCAACTATGGTTTCTGACCCCGCACAAACTGATTCGCACCGGCGCGAGTGTTCTTGGAGCAACTGTGATTGTCCACAAGACAAACACAGACGGTCGATGGACGAAATCCTGCACCACCTAAGACACCCATGAATGATGAGGTTTCTTAGGTCAAACGAATGGTTGTGCTAATATTACCCGCATTGTGGATTGTGTCAAGCATGCTGTTGTTTGGGTTCAAGCCCTCATGCTTCTGTATTTCGCCCAATGACAGCCGGTAACACATATCCTTTAAGTGGTGTATCTAACCCATATCCCTTCACTGGTACATATCGAACCCATGCCTCCAAACCCCATTGCCCAGGGACATGGGGCTGGGCGAGAGGGGTGGGTGGGCCCAAAAGAGGAATCCTCAGTAGAGCGTCAGCTTGTCTGGACGGGCCCCTGTGGCACAGCCCCCCCTGTGGCACATGAGCCCAATCTGCGAATCGAAAACATGTCCAGGCCTTAGAGGTCGCAAAGCGCAAAGTCTTTCGCGCGCTCTCACGGCATCTCAAGCCGGGCCAGGCGACCGGGGACCGTGGTCCGGGAGGGCCAAGACCAGCTGAAAAGTCGCGTGGCTTTTTCAAACGGCTTGGATGCGAAGCGGTGGATCTGCTGGATGCTTTGAACAACTACTGAAAGAGGGAGAACACCGGGGGAGAAGCAGGTGGAATCCACAGAAAGCGATGTGAAAACCCGTGTCCAGATGGTTTGTTGCGGGCGAAAGCCAAAAGTTGGGCTCGGTCTGCGGCTGGCCCAACGTATTTGCTCGCAAAGTGGTTTCAAGGTGAAACCCTTCAGCGCCCACAGCCGCGCCGCTGCCAATCACATGATGTCATAATGTTGCTGGGGATCAAGACTAGGAAACAACACACATCTCCAGTCCTTGCTCCAGTCGCAGGGAAACACTGGCATCTATTGTTTTGTTACCTAAACGCCTGCAATTTCTGGAAGCTCCGTATCTCTGGTTTGCTTCATCGATACACAACTCCCTCGAAATTGGAGTCGAAGCTTGACCCAAGAGGCGACACTTGGTTGAGCAAGTGTGAGCGACTAAACACAGGAGTATGCATCCACAAACTTTACAATTCTAAAACCGTAAAAATTAAACTGGATGCTCAAAATTTAAAAGGACCTGCATCATGGATTTTCCTACACCATGTCAAAGGAAACTGGCATTGGCCAGCCGAGGGCGCATGCGCGCCGGCGAATTCACTGGCTGCAAATATTTATCATCGGGCGAAGGCTCGTGACTTAGAATCGACGCTCTGAAATACACAGCAAATCATCGTTTCTGCTTGTGCTTCATATTTCGTCTGCCCCGAAATGTGAGGACAGGTTTGGGATCTGAGACCCCAGAAACTACCTGAAAATCGCACACAAAGGGGACCTCCGGCAGCCTCGGGCGCACACACCAGGGCCCTGCGCAAACCCATCGTCTAGCGTCGATTGAACAATCATGCGAACTCAAACCGCAGAACCAACCAAAAACACGTTTGCTGAATCCAGGCAAGGGGGAATTCTACCAACATTGTCCCAACATGGGCGACAACAGTACCCTATATTTGTATGAAATGGGCTCCAAATTAGACATCGCAGTTCCGCAGATTTAGACTTGGCGAGTTTTGGTCCAAAGCTGAGCATTCAAGCGGGAGGGTTGTCCATTCGTTGATCAAGCTGACGGAGGATCCCTTCTCGCAGCTTTGGAACCGATCTGCAAATAGAAGAATTCTACGCCTGAAAGAAATAGAGCCCCAATTGCCATATAAACAATGTCCTTCTGGTCCTGATCCGAGCGCCTACAGCGTGAAATCTAGCCCCGAGCCCTCGCTCCTGGGTATGCCATCCAAAGAATCCCTCGGCGTTTTTTTGTGACCACGGCTGGTCCGTGATACTCGGACCAGCTCCGGGTCTAAGTGTGGACCTCCTATGCCTTTTTGGTCATTGAAATGTCCCTTTTCCTGTGGGTTCAATGCGTGGGATACATTGGGATGCATTGGGATGCATTGGGACGCAAGGTTCCCCGCAGTCAAAAGACACACCATTTTTTTGCTGGTTGAGTTCAAAGAGAACGCACCTCTAAAAAAAAGACAAGCGAAGTGGAATCCACTGACTTGGAAGTGCTCCAAGACTGATGCAGGGAAACCTGTTCAGGCCCCTTTGATACTGCTCTGAATGGTCTTGTTGTGAAACCGCAGTCAAAACATCCCGTGTGCGAACGTTACGGCGGGTTACGGCCCACGCATGAAGTAGAGCAGTTTTCTCCAGCACAGCTTTCTCAAATGGGAACGACATAAAACCCGGGCGATGACAAGGTCTCCTTGAACCCCCCCTTGGGCCAAACGGGGTACGCCTGGTGAGCCAAGTCAAAGGTCTACGAGGACTCGGTCGACCCGAGGACCTCATTTTTTGGGAATGTCTTCGGCTTATCAAACGAAGCTAAGAGCACAACTTCCCAGCCCTCTTGAGCCACCTTTCTTTGAGGAAACATGTGCCACACATACCTACAAGGAAAATCCAGAAATACATTTTTTCTCAAGAAAGAGGCTGCAACTCTGGGGGGACCCCCAAGACTGTGAGCTTCAGAGGTCTCTCCCAAATGAGTTTTGGAGGCATGCAGGTTTGACCACTTAAGCGGTACGTGCCACACGCTTACATTGCTGGGTAAGCATCCCTACCTCCAAAATCCATCCCTGAGAATGGGAACCTCGGAATGAGAAACAAACATTACCTGGAAATGCCATTAACCCTTTCGCGATGTCTTGCAAGCCGCGAGTATGCACTCTCTGGATAGACTGGCAAAGACCGCAGCGTCAGCGGACGGTGACACCCTCTATTCAGGCAACACCTGGCACAAAAGCCGTGTGCGAGCCTGGGTGCCTGAAAATGATAGCACTTTGAGGAGTTCGAAAAGTTAGTTGCCGGGGTGGCTTGCCTGTGAATCACGGTTGTGGGAAGTAATTGTTTCTGCGATGCCAAAGTGGGCCATCCCCATGACAACTTTGTAAATGGGGTTTCCTTATCACAGAAGCTGCCACACCTTGGTCACTTTGATGAACCCAGTCCACATCAAACCGCAATCAAGAGCCAGGCTTCCTGGCTTCCCTTCAGTCCAATCCAAAAGGGGGCCCTAAATTTAGGACACCGGTTATCAGCCCTTGTGGACACGTTGGAACAAATGTAGGAAGCCGCGTGCCCTTCATTAGCATCCCTTTGGCTGATTCCATAGCCCTTCATCATTTTTTAGGGCTGGTGCTGTGATGTCGGAGGGCAGCCCACAGGTTGAACAAAATGTGGCGACCATGGGAACCCTACAAAATTATCACCCTCCACCAACTCAACTGCGAGACGCGATTTGCGCTGCATGTTGAGAGAAAGCCCTTCTCTGCCGGGTGGTCCTGAAATTGCCTCATGCCCACGTCTACATGCATAATATATTATATATATATATATCATATTATTGATCATGTGTAAGCATGCCGCAAGCATGTAGTGCTCTGGAAGCACGCGATGTAAAGTCATCTCACAAATGTTTCAGGGACTGCCTTGCAAACCCCT